TGTTTTTCATTTCACTTAGTATAACAATGTTCATGCAGGCTGTAGCTTGAATCAGAAGCTTATTTTTCTTTTTGGCTGAACTATGCTCCTTTATATGCACACACACACACACACACACACCATATCTTATTTATCCATACAACTGTTGATAGACATCTGGTACTCAGTGTTTGTCTGAACTCCTTTTTAAATTCATTTGGATAAACCCTAAGTAGGGAAGATATGGGGTCACGTGGTGGTTCTTCTTGATGGCCTCACCAACTGTTTTTCATCCTATACCCCAACTTCAGTGTTTCTGGGGGCACAAAGGGCTGTTCCTCACAGGGGTGGCAGGCTCAGTGAGCTATCCTATGACAAATGGTCGGTTTGTAGGGAAACTGTGACTGGGATAGAGTGGTGAAAAGAGGTGTGACTTGGACATGAGGAGGGCATGCATCTGGGAAAGGCAGGGCACTCTGGCCTCAGGGTGTGTGGTCAAGGGTTGAGCAGTCACAGGACTGTGTCTGAAGGTGGTTGGTGTTTACTAAGCAAACCATGCGAAGCAGCAGGTAACATGAGAGCAAAGAGCAGCCATGCAAAAACAGGAAGGGGAACACGTAGCACAAGGCGCAGCCAGAGCCAGCAGGGATCAGGGTGAGGCAAGAGAGAGGGGCCTAACTGAGCAGGCACCCGCCCCTCCTTTGAGCCCATAGTGGGGAAGACCCACAGGCAGAGTGTGACCTGAGCCTGTCATTCCCCACACACACCTCCTGGCCAGTTTGATCTGTAAAGAATAGAACCACATCACAAAAGCAAGAAACAAATGCACTTGTTACAAAACCACAGGCACCTGTGCCACATGGAAACTGGGCCCAGACCCGCCCAGGGCACCCACCTCACTGTCCTCCGCTAGCCCCATATCTCTTGTTTTCTTAAACAAGCTAGGTCTGCTGGGTGACAGAGACATTTTCCTTGAACATCAGCAGTTTCCCACATTGTTTCCTCTCCGCACCAACAAGCCAGCCTTCAGCCCTGGGATGTTTTGTGTGTAGATGTTCATGGAGGGACGTGGCCTGAAAGGAGCGGTAGTTTTGCAGACTTGAATCCGGACAACCAGGAAGCTCAATACTGGATACCATCCTCTGTTCTTCCTGGTGAATATTTCTCCCTGTGTGAACGTCTGCACTGTCCTGTGACAGTGATTTTTAGGAGGAATTTAAACTCATTTTAGTATCAGCTGATACAGGCAGCAGGGAACGAAACCACTCAGTAAAACCGCTCTGCAAAAACGCCACGTGGTTCAAGAAAGAACACCAATCCAGTCACATTTCTGGGGTGTGTAGGACGGTGGCTTAGTCTGTGGGGAGCTGTGCTGTTGTCCACACGGCAGCACCTGCCTGTAGGTTCAAATCCACCAGCGGCTCCTCAGGAGAATGATGGACAGACTCCTCCCCCGTCATTGTCAGCCTCGGGACCCCTCTGGAGGGTCAGCTCTGAGTCAGTTCTGATCTGATGGCAATGAGGTCGAGTGCAATAGGACTGGAGGGTGCTGGTGACTCAATGGTTTAGCGTTTGGTTGCTAACTGACAGCTCCATCGGTGAAATGATGACCATCTGCTCCCTTAAATATGACAGCCTCCGTGTCCTCCTGGGTCACTTCTCTGTCCTGTAGGGTCACTGTGAGTCAGAATCCACTGATGACAGGACACGACAGAGCAGAATTCCTGGAAACTTATGGAAATCCTGTACCAATGTGCCCCCTAGGGGCCACCTCATTTGTTGGAAATGTGCAGTTTTCTTTTAGGTGCAGAAGCCTCTTGTTCTCAGCTTTGAGATCCCTGTGGGGCAGTTTTACTCTGTCCTAGAGTTGCTGTGTCTCTGATGCAATTAGATTGTTACTGTTGTTGTTGGGTGCCATTGAATTGAATAAAAATCATAGCAACCCCACGAACAGCCGACCTGGACCCTGGGCTCTCCTATGCCATCCTTACCGTCTCTGAAAAACTAGAAGCAATTAGATGGCACTAACTTTACCCCAGGCCTCAGGTATGAACTCTGGTGACAGCTGAGAAAGTGAAGGAAAGTGTAGTGTCTCCATGGATCCAAGGTGCTGGGGAGAGGCCAGTGAGCTGGTGCAGCGGGACCAGGTTAGGGAACAAACGTGGTGAGGAGCGACCCAAGACCAGCGGTGGGCCCATTCATGTCGTTGGTTAGTTGTCTTAGAGTTGAGTATGACTCATAATGACCCTGTGAACAAGAGGTCTGAACCCACCCCGTATCCTGAGCCATCCTCATCATCTCTGACACACTTGAGCCCCTGGATGCAGTCACAGTATCAATCCGTCTCGTTGAGGACTCTTCCCTCTTTTGTTGACCTTCCACCTTTCCAAGCGTGATGTCCCTTCCTACGCAACATGACAGAAGTGTGTGAGAAGAAATTTCACCATCTTTGCTCTTTCTCCAAGACATCTCTGTCTGTTCTTCAGGCAGTCCGTGAGATGTTCAGTGCTCTTCTCCAAAAAGGTATCAACTCAAAGGTATCAACTCTTCTTCTGTCATCCTTATTCATTCTCCACTTCTCAGATGCATTAGCAAATGATTGAGAAGACCATATCCTGAGTCATCAGGCACACCTTAGTCTTCAAACTGACATCACTGCACTCTCGTTCTTTGGAGATTTGCGTGACAGCTCACTTTCCCAATGTAACTTTTTTTAAATTTTTTTATTTCTTGACTGTGGTATCAAGGGTGCTCACTGTGAATCCAAGTAAGATTAAATAGTTGACCATTTCATCTTTTCTCCATCTATCATGATGCTGTTTATCTTCTTATTGCATTCCGTCGAGTCAGAACTGACCCATAGCAGACCCTCCATCAGGTTTTCAAGGGCAGTAAATCACACAGGAGGAGATTGTCTATCTTCCTTCTGAGAGTCTTTGGTGGATTTGAACTGTGTGCCTTTGGGTTTACCACTAGGCTACCAGAGCTCCTTGTTGTTGTTGCTCGGTGCTACTTTTTCTTCTTCTTCTTCTTTTTTTTTGGTATACTTTATTTTATTATTTTTTTTGGATTCCCATTCATTCATTATCGCACACTTTCCTCCCTGCCCACCCCTCCCCACAAGTAAAAAAAATTCTTTCATTGTTATACAATCCCCTCTCCCTCAGTCCACTCCACTATGCAGCTTTCATTCTGGACTCATGACAGTAATACCTAATCATACATTCTTCCTAAAAAGTTCTCTCCCTCATCCGTTTCAATGCAGTATACTTCACTTATCCCCTCTTGGTTTCCCTCCAACCCTGATGTCAGTACTGCTTTACAACAGTGGCACTATGCAGTATTTGTCTTTTTGTGACTGAGCTATTTTACTCAGCATAATGTCCTCCAGGGTCACCCATTTTGTATAATATTTCATGAGTTCCTTGTTTTTCACTGCAGCATAGTATTCAGTTGTGTGATTTTACCACAGCTTCTCTATCCATTTGTTTGTTGATGGGCATTTGGGTTGTTTCCAACTTTCTGCTATCGCAAACAAAGCTGCCATAAACATGGGTGAGCATATATCTGCTTGGGTGGCTGTTCTGTTTTCTTTAGGGTATATTTCCAGTAGTGGAATTGCTGAATCAAATAATACTTCTATTTGCAACTTTTTGAGAAAGTATCATACTGTTTTCCACAGTGGTTGCACCATTTTACACTTCCACCCACAGTGAATAAGGGTTCCAGTTTCTCCACAACTTCACCAGCATTTGTTGTTTGTTTGATCTGTTAAAGTTTGCTATTCTTACTGGGGTGAGATGATATCTCATAGTTGTTTTGATTTGCATCTCTCTTAGAGCTAGGGATTTTGAAAACTTCTTCATGTCTTTGTTTGCCATCTGATTGTCTTCTTTGGTGAAGTGTCCATATCCTGTGCCCGTTTTTCAATTGGTTTGTTTAACTTTATCTTGTGCTATTGAGTCCAGTACAACTCATAGTGATTCTATGAATGACAGATCCGAACCCTCTCCCATCCTGGATCCTTCTCACGATCTCTGAACCTTGGAGCCCATTGCTACAGTCACTGTGTCAATCTACCCGGTTGAAGTGTTACAGGAAGATGGGTCTCAGGGCAGAGAAGGAATGGCACCCAAACATCTTCATTTAGAGAAAAGGGTTTTATATGATAAGATGGCAGATTGATCCAGTTGGGACAGGAGCCCAAATGGCTCAAGCTCTGAACTGCTTTGGATTTGGCCTTTTAAAGGAAAACGTAAGGGCTTTCCAATTGGTTGGTTTATTCTAACAGTAGAAAAATGCAGCAGGAATTTACAAGGTGAAGCTGATGTCCGCTTTTCACAGCTCTTGGGAGGGGGGAGAGGATCTTGTATTGAGAGATGTCCCCACCCTCCGTATATGGGGACTGTCCGGGTACAGTGTGATAAGAAACTGACCTGGTTGCAGTTTCCCAGGCTCTTCCAGATAAGAGCGTTATTTTCAGGTTGGGACCTGAAAAGATGAGGCAATTATGTGGGCATAGTTCAGTGGTGATTAATTTTATAAAACTGTATGGGAATGCTTGTATGAAATACAATGGGAATGAAGGAAAATGTGAAACACAATGTACATGTATTTTGTATGCAAACCAATATAACAATTTTTTTTTAAAGAAAGCATTATTTGCAGGCCTGAGAATCCTTCTTCCCTTAGAATTCTCCACGGGCGGGAGGGACTCCCTCCTCAGAGCTTCTTCCTCTCCCTCGCTGACCCTCCACCTTTCCAAGCATGATGTCTTTCTCTGAGGAATAACTTCTCCTAGCAACGTGCTCAAAGTATGTGAGACGAAACTTCGCCATCCTTGCCTCCAAATAGCAGTCCGGCTTCAACTCCAAGATGCAGCAGGGAGCTTGGAGTGGAGGCGCGAGGCGGGGCCAGGGGAGGGTCGATGGGGCTGGAGGCGGGGAACTGGGGGCGGAGCTGGGAAACAAATGGGGCCACCCACTGAGGGATGCCCAGGATTTGGAAACAGGCAGGAGCGGCCTGGGCCTAGACTTGGTTAGAGGGGAGGGAGGTGCGGGGCGGGGTAAGGTGAGGTGATGGGGAGGGGGTGGATTTGTGCGTGCTGTAAACGGGGCGGCACTCGCCCCACCACTATTTCAGACTGTGCGGTGTCAGGCCGCAGCCTGTGGCAGGAGCAGGCGTGCGTGTTGTCCACGCCGTGGCGCTTCGGCCGCATGGTGTGCCGCTGGATCGCAAAGGATTTCAGCAGTCTCAAGGGGCTCCTGGACCTGCATGGCGTGAGGCTGGTGGGCGTGGGCACAGAGCCCCTGTGGCCCCAGGAGTTCCTGAAGGCAGCTACTTTGTGAAAGGTGAAATCCCTCCCTATTGTGCCCTTCATTCTCCCTGCAGCCTGCTCCTCTGCTGTGCTGAGAGCCCTCTTCCCAGGGAGAACATTCTGGACACTGGAGACCGTTCCTGGGTCTGGGTCTCTCCAAACTTGTGGCTCTGTCGTGGGCTGGGGTGGGGGTGGGAGTGATATGGATCTGTCCTCAAAGCAGGGGGCACTCGGCTACCTTCTGGCCAGCTCTGCTCCAATAGGAGGTGGCCCTGACCTGCTCACCTGTGAGTAACCCTCACCTCCCCACATGCCCCAGCTTCTATTGTAGAGGTATTACCCCCCAGGACAGGTGGCTCAGGTCTTCAGTAACTGGGTCACAGGGGAGGCTTCCAGAGGCTACAGGGTTACCTCTCCTGGGGATGGAGAGGAAGTGGGAATATCCCCACCCCACACTAGACGCTCATTGTAGATGAAATTCCATGCCCTCGACACCCTCAGAACAGCCCACTCAGATTGAAGAAGCAAAAATGCAAGCCCAGCATGGCTACCCTTGCCTCCCACATTCCCTTCCCCCTCCAGGAGCCCCCTGCACACTGTCAGAAATGGGGTTCATGGCCCACAAGCATGGACATCTGTCAAACCCTGTTCATTCCAGTGGCCCTAGGATAACAGTAATGGGGATGCTATCTAGAGCCTTGTCCAGGAGCCCCTCTGTCATGGGTGGGTTCTCTGGAATCATTGTCCTTGGCTGCTGGCATCAAATACTTGATGAGTTGTTTCGTCTATTTCATTCACATTGGTAGATTGTAAAGTTGGGGTCATTTGCACAGCAGTTCCTTCCATTGAGTGTTTTGAATCTGTGAGTGGGTCCCTATCCATATGGAGACATTTTGTCCATTATATTCCAATACTCTTGCCACATTCTTTCCCCACTCATTGTGTGAATCCAAATACAGGTATAATAGATGGTTTAACTATATCCCATGAGTGGAATTCTCTGTTCTGTTTTGATTCACTTCTAACTGAGTGCTTCAGTCTGGATACTTTCTATCGAGCTGTTTCCCCTCTGCTGTCCATCTGCTGCCTTAACCAGACTGCCTTTAATCCTATTTTATTTAGTTAAATAATCTCAAAAGGGAACCTGGCAGCATAATGTGTAACATGTCAGGCTGCTCACAAAAAGGTGAATGATTAGGATTGACCAGCGTCCAGTATCAGGCAGCGTCCAGTGGTGAAGATTTACAGAAACCCTGTGGAGGGTCACTAGGAGTGAAGTCAACACGTCTGCTGTTCTAATAAAGTTTATGTGCAATTCTAGAGTATTGTTTGATTATTTGAATGTAGCTTCTACTTCACTGTGAAATTGTCTATGTCCAGATAGACTCTCTTTCCTCTGTTTTCATTAACACATTGTTCACAATTTCTTTTATTTTCCATTTAAAAAAAATTATTATTTTATTATTTCTTTTGTGTGTGTGTGTATGTACCGTCAAATTGGATCTGACTGGTACAGGAGGAGATTGTCCCTCCTTTCCCGGCAGAGCATCTGGTGGATTTGAACCATGCACCTCTGGGATTGCAGTGCAGCTTCTTGCCACTAGGCCACCAGAGCTCCCCTTGTTTACAGTTTCTTTAGAGCACTTTCCTGCCGTCTCCTGATACTCCATGGCTGTACTTCTGTTGTCTGTGTTCTCATCTGATTACTGCTCACATCTCCTGCCTCTCATGCGTGTATGCCTACACTTTGCCCTCGATCCTGCAAACACAAGAGGAGGGTGTATTTGCTTCTGATACTCAAAGGTTAGCAGCAATACATGTGTAGTTAGCAGAGATACACGTGTACATGTGTGTACTCATACACGCACGTGTGGGTATCCAAGGAGGTGCAAAAGGCTTCGGATTTAAACCAGAAAAGGGTAGTAGGTTCAGCCCTTGGGGCTACCAGCCCTCAGAGTGAGCCAGGCCTCGGGGTGAGCTCCTCAGCCAGCTGGTGGTGCCATCCAACCCCTGGGTAGAAAAAACTGCCTAGGGTATAGAGAATTTTATCTAGGCTACTTTCCTCCACCCTCTCCCCCAGTATACCCGTAAGTAACACCCCCAAAGCTCTTCTATTTGTAACTCACAAGTTTGCTCTCTCTAGGTTTGCTCCCTTTCCTATAGGTAACCTTAACACTGGGTTTTACTCCAGATTCGACCCTGAACCCAGTTTCAGAGCCAAAAAGGAAATACAACTGCCAGCTAAGGAAGCAAAGGAGGATGGAGCCTCAGTGTTCAGTCAGCCATCCCCACTGGACCCACCTGGGAAAACACTTTGCAGTCCAGAGGATAGTAAATGTCAGGAAAATATCTTCTAACAGAGCAAGAAGGCAAGCAGCTTCAACCCAAGACCACCCGTGAGGTGATAAAGTGTGCTCCCTTTCCCCCTTCACATCAATGCTGCTATTCAGCATGAAGAAGCCAGAGAGTCTGTGCCCAGTTCCCAAATGAGAAACCCACAAGTGAATAAGACAGTTTGTTTAATCACCATTGGACTATGCTTACTATTGTCCTGTATTCTCTGGTCCCCACTGGATCCTTTTCATTTCCTTCACCTGATTCCCCCACCAACCAAATTGTGCATCCCTGCAACTGCATCCCTGCAATTTCATCCCTGCCCATCCTCACCTTTCTGCTCCCAACCCTCACCTCCTTGTATCCCCAACATGTTTTTCCCAATAAAATAAAAAAAAAATTATTTTAATGGGGAAAAAAAGTAGGTTCAGATGCTGGTTCAGGCATCTCCAAACTCGGTCTTATTACACAACTACCATGCTTTCCTCATCTGCAAAAGAAATCCTGGTGACCCCCTTCCATCCTCACATGCTGCCTCCCTATCTTTGAGCAATTCCTCCGCCATCTGGGAAGCAGCAACCTCCCACTGTGTCCAGAGGAGCCTGAGACCTCCTCCACTAGAAACAAGTTGCAAGTTTCCAACAAAAGGTGGCAGCCTTGAGAAGGCACACTGGTAACAGGCGTCTGGCTTTCCATAAACTGCTGTGTTTGCTGTCATCAGTGGATTCTGACTCACGGTGACCCTACAGGACAGAGAAGTGACCCAGGAGGATTCTAGGCTGTCGTCATTAAGGGAGCAGACGACCATCAGTTCACCTGCGGAGCTCTTGGCTATCAAGCAAATGTTTAACCCCTGGGTCACCAGCACCCCCCAATCCTATTCCACACTCGGCCTCATTGCCATCAAATCAGCACTGACTCATAGCTGACCCTCCAGGGGGTTCTGAGGCTGTAAGTTGCATGGGAAGAAAATGTCCAACTTTCCCCTGAGGAACTTCTGATGGATTTGAACCTCCAGAAGGTGGTTTTCATCAGGAACACAGCTAGCTGTAAATTAAAGCACCTGCTCTATACACACCGGTAAGGTGACTGGATTGTTGTCCTTTCTTAACTTGATGCTATTTTTTTTTCCTTTCTATAAATTTTACCTGCTAGTTTAGTTCCCTGCTACCTCTCTCGGATTCTATTGCAGCAAATCTAAATCCCTACCAAAAATCGCTGTTGCTAGGAAGGAATATTTCAAACCGGAGGGCACTAGCCAGCTTCACTCTACATGCCTGGGTGTAATATGGAAACTACAATCTCCCAGGACACTCCCTCTCAGTGAGAAGGAACACTTACCCCAAAAATATCCCAGAGTTGAGGACTGGCTTACCAGCGCTGGGAGGGGACAACGTGGGGAACCGCATGTGTTCAAGGCCAAAGTCGGTGTCGCCCAGCCAACTCAGGTTGGGGCAGCTTTTAGGGTCAGGAAAGGAGATCTGGAGACACCTTTCCCTGGGACCAGGAGAGTGGTGAGGTGGGTGCCTGGGACCAGTCTGGGCTCAGTTCCCATGGGGCACAGGTGTCTGTGGTTTTGTAACAAGTGCCTTTGTTTCCCACTTCTGTGATGTGGCCCCATTCTTTACAGATCAAACTGGTTAGGAAATGTACTGGGGGAAAGACAGGCCCAGGTCACACCCTGCCTGGGAGCCTTCTGAAAGGTGAGCCCAAAGGAGGAGTGGCGCTCCTGCTCAGTTAGGGCCCTCACTCTTGGGCTCCCCCTATGCCTGCAGGCTCTGGCTGCACGCCCTGCTGCTGGGAACCCTCCCTGTCTTTGCAAGACTGTTCTTTGTTCTTCTGCTACCTGCTTCTCCATGGGGTTTGTTTATCAAGCACCATGTTCAGACTCAGCCCTCTGCCTGGTCGACCCATGACAACTCCAGCCTGAGACCCTTGTGTCCCCTCCCTTCCTAGACCCCTGCACTCCTCACCTCCAAGCTACACCTCTTGTCACCACCTTATCCTAACTACAGTGTCCCTGCACACCCTGCACACAGGACATGTCACTGAGCCAGCCGCACCTGTGCAGAGTGTGAGGAGCTGCTCTCGGTGCTCTCAGAATCATGCAGGTGCGGATGTAAAATGGGTAACAGTTGGTGACTCCCCCAAAGAACCACCACCATGTGACTCCATATTCCCACTCCTAGGAGTTCATCCAAATGAATTAGAACAGGTGCTCATACAAACACTAAATGCTCATCAACAGATGAATGGATCAATAAAATACCATGTGTACGTATAGCAGTGCATTTTTCAGCCATAAAAAGAAATAACCTCCTTATTGATGCTACAACCTGGATGAAACTTGACCTCACTATGCGAAGTGAAATAGAAAACAACAACAGACAAACCTGTTGTGTTCTGATTGATGCCAAGTTAGAGTGATCCCACGTGTACAGTGTGGACTGCTCCTGAGGAAACTCAAAGCTGTGGCCTTTGAGAAGCTGATCACCAGGCCTCTCCTCCAAGACTCTCTTGTTTGGGTTTGAACCAAGAGCCAGTCAGTAACTAAGTACTTTACATTTAAGCCACAGAGAGACTCCTGAGTGAAGGAAGCCATGCGCAATAGACCAAATACCATGTAATTCCTCTACTAGGAAATACTGACAGAGAAATGTACTGAAAATAAATGCAGATTGGTGTTTCCCAGGGTTG